AATGCCCCCCCCCAGCCTGATTCCCCCCAACTTGCCCCCTATGCCAGTGTGCTCGCTCCCAATGGCCGCCCCTGCTGGCCTGCTCGCCCCCAAACTGCTCCCCCTGGTGGCCTGTTTGCCCCCACTTTCCCTTCCAATGGGCCTGCTCACCACCAACTGCCCCCCTGGTGGCCTGCTCACTCCAAACTGCCCCCCCCCCCCCCGCCGACCTGATCATCCCCAACGGCCCGCCCCCCACTGGCCTGATCACCCACAACTGCCCTCCCCTCTTGACCTTCTAATCGCCTCTATCTTGGCCCCGCCACCATGGCTTTGTCTAGAAGAACGTCCGGAAGGTCTCCTGGAAGGTCTCCCAGTCTAATTAGCATATTACCCTTTTATTAGTATAGAGGCCTGGTGCATGGGTGGGGGCCGGCTGGTTTGCCCTGAAGGGTGTCCCAGATCAGGGTGGGGGGTTCCCTTGGGGCGTGGGGCGGCCTGGGCAAGGGGCCTGTGGTGGTTTTGCAGGCCAGCCACACCCCCATGGGGTGAGGGTCCCCGCTGGGGGGGCGTGGCCAGCCTGGGTGAGGGGCTGAGGGCTGTTTTCAAGCTGGCCACACCCCCTTCAGGGTGGGGGTTCTCGCTGGGATGACTGGCCAGCCTGGGTGAGGGGCTGATGGCTGTTTGCAGGCTGGCCATGCTCCCCAGCAGGGACCCTCACCCCATGGGGGCATGGCCAGCCTGAGTTGAGGGGCTGATGGCTGTTTTCTGTTTTCAGGCTGGCCACGTCCCCCGGTTACCCAAGCCCCCAGCCCCTCCTTGAGCAGGGCCCAGGCCCTCAGCCACTCTTTCAGCGGCGGCCAGGGCGGGCAGGAAGCTTGGCTTCCTCTGTCGCCCGAGGCAACCCAAGCCTCCTGCTGCTCCAGCTCCATGGTCGCCGCCATCTTTGTTGGGTTATTTTGCATACTTGCCCTGATTGGCTGGTGGGCGTAGCAGAGGGATGGTCAATTTGCATGTTTCCCTTTTATTAGTGTAGATATTATTTACTAGTGATAGGCCAAAATCCTGGGTGCCATCCTTGATTCTTACCTCTTGTTTACTCCACTGTATTATTTTTGGATACTTAGTACTAGAGTTTATACAGAATAATAAACTGGGAATAATTTTGTTTTTAGAATTTCAGATTAATTGTAAGCAGTAATTTTTAACTCCTAGGATTCTGAAGTTATAAGAATAAGAGACACAACCCTGAATGTAAAATAAAAAAAGCAATGACTTATTTTTTTCTTCCTTGATACAACTGCATGATGCTTGGGTGTCAAGAGTAGGTAAGCCCGGATACTGAGAAAATTCTGTTTCAAGTTCAGATTTTTGTTCCTTGTAATTCGGACTATCCTTTTAAATAGTTATTCAGAATCTTATGGTGGAAGGAAGAAGGATCCAAATTAACTTTCATATTATATAATCATAATTGATGTTTTCTTTTGCCAATTATAAAATTTTGCACTAGGTGAGTATACACACACACACACACACACACACATATATATTTATATATAATGTTAATACATGTATATTAATGTTCTGAGTAGAGAATTTACTACTTTGCTAAGTAAATAGGACTACACCCCTCAGAGTGAGAAAGTTGAGCATTAGTAGGAGGCTATTCTTATGATGGCAGATCAGAAACTAAATGAGGTACAGTAGCTAAGCTACAGTGTGGATGTTTTTTCTGACAGAGATAAATAATTATGTTACGTTTTTAACCAAATAAGTATAATAAGCTAGTATAAGCAAAATATATTTCCATGATAAGGTAGCCAGCTAGTGTGACAATTGTTTAGGCAGGGATTCTCAACAGGTGTAGGAGAGTTTTCACCCCAGGGGACATTTTTTGGCTGCCAGGACTAGAGGGTGCTCCTGGCATCTAGTAGGTAGATGCTGGAGATGCTGCTAAATATCTTACAGTGCACAGGGTAGCCCCACACCACAAATAGTGATACAGACCAAAAGGTCAACAGTGCTTTGAGAAACTCCTTTAGGGTGTTTTTTTTGACCTGCCACATGATCACCTAAATATTTTTCAGAATTTCATTTAACAAATAAACCTTTGATAGAGGTGTAATGGTTATAATAATTTCATGATTTTATTTTTGTGAAAACTTCAACGAAGGGAAGTATATTTGTGTGCACTTGGAATAATTTAGGAGAGGAAACAATCAAGGATGAATGCCAAGTTTCTGGCTTGAGCAACTCATCAGGATGTTGGTGACATTATTTGAAATGAGAGAAACAGATGTGTGGAACAAAATCTTCAGTTCAGATTTGACGTTTGTAGAATTTGAAGTACCTGAGAGATATCGAGAGGAAGTCCTAAAGATCAGAATTTAGGTGTTCAGACATATCTTTAAATTGAAATTTGTCAGTATATGAATATACATTAGTCCTGAGATTAGAGGAAATCACCCACCAGAATGTATATCTTTTTTTAAAGTATATTTTTATTGATTTCAGAGAGGTAGGGAGCGGGAGAGAGAGATAGAAACATCAATGATTAGAGAGAATCATTGATTGGCTGCCTCCTGTATGCCCCCTACTGGGATCGAGCCCTCAACCCGGACATGTGCCCTGACTAGAATCGAACCGTGACCTCCTAGTTCATAGGTCGATCAATGCTCAACCACTGAGCCACACCGGCCAGGCATCTTAAGAAGGAAAGAGTACCTTATAGCACAGTGCTTAGGAACACCAACATTCACAATATGAGTGGAGGAGAATCTAGCAAGAGACTAAGAAGTAGCCAGAGATAAAATAGGAAGTGATCCAGAAGTGTAATCTTCCAAGCCAAGGGAAGAGAAATGTCTTTAGGTGGATGAATGGTTGTTGATATGGAGGCTGTTGTTGACTTTGGTCATACCCATGAGAGTGACTAGAAACCCAATTACAGTGGGTTGCGAATTCCATGTTAAGTAAGAAATTTAGTTGTGTTGTAGATTTATGTAAATTTGGCTGTGAAGGCCTTCAAGGTTATAGTGAATACTGTTTTATAATACATTAAATAATTGCTTGGATTCTAAGTGATTCAGCAAGTATGAAAATAGTTCTGTATTACCACAGATAAAGGTGTATGTTTGACACTAAAACATTACTTTTGTTTTTCAGACCTTTCAAGAAATCGTTTTGCAGAAATTCCTTCTGATATCTGGTTATTTGCACCTCTTGAAACATTAAATTTATACCATAATTGCATTAAAACCATTCCTGAAGCCATTAAAAACCTGCAGATGTTAACGTACCTTAACATTAGGTAAGGAAGTAACTTTTGGGATACATTTTGGTTTTTATCATAGTTTTAATCCTTTTAGTAGCAAAGGAATGTGTTTGGTTTGGCTATGTAGCCTATATTTATCTCAGTAGTATCTTATTTGTATTTTTTATATGTCCACACTACTGTATAGGCCTTTAGTCTTATTTTTGAGAGCAATGCTTTTCAAACTAATGTGCACGGGAATCACCTGGGGATTAAAACAGGATTCTGATTTTATAGGTCTGCAGTGGGACCTGCATTTCTAACAAGCCACTTGGTAATGCACATGCCTGCTGGTCCTTAAATCACTTTGAATAGCAAGGCTTTACATCAGAAATATTTTACTGAAATCATAGCACCACAATACCGATTTATTTATATGCATCCTCAGTTAAATAAACAATCCTTGTGATATTTTTCACACTCCTGTGACTTTCTGTTGCTACTTCAAGGATGGATAGATTGGGATGGGAATGGTGGAACATTAAGAGGTGGATGACAGTTGATGTTAATATTGAATAAGTGCTTACTGTGTGCCGGGCGGTGTTACAAATATTTTACACATATTACCTCATGTTCACAACAGCATTTTGAGATATGTACTTTTATTATCCCTGTACTTTTATTATTACAGATGAGGAAACTGAAGCACAGAGAAGTTAACTATTTGCCCAAAGTTCTATAGGGTGTCTCCCAGAAAATGTATAAACACACTTTGAATAATTATTAAGGCAGTGTTTTTTGAAATACATTTCATTTTCGCCCTAGCCGATTTGGATCAGTGGATAGAGCATCAGCCTGTGGACTGAAGGGTCCTGGGTTCGATTCCAGTCAAGGGCACATGCCTGGATTGTGGACTCAATCCCCAGTAGGGGGCGTGCAGGAGGCAGCCGATCAATGGTTCTCTCTCATCATTGATGTTTCTATCTCTCTCTCCCTTCCTCTCTGAAATCAATAAAAAAATATTTTTTTAAAAATAAAAATAAATTAAAAATGACATACATTTCATTTTCAAGTGAGATACTTAAACAGTGGATAGCCCAATTGATATTTCTTTTCAGATTTAACCCATTGGAATTAATAATTATTCAAAGTATGTATACATTTTGGGAGACACCGTGTGTGTGTGTGTGTGTGTGTGTGTGTGTGTGTGTGTGTATACATATATATATATATATATATATATATATATATATATATATATAGCCAAGATTATAATAAAGTAATATGGCTGTAGAAATCTCATTCTTAAGCTATTACCCTATATTTATAACAGAGTGAACATTTAATAAGAATAAGAAAAAGAATGCCCTGTTAAATGAGTGACATTGAATGGAAACTGCTGTATTGTGACAATTTTAGAATTGTTTTCTTATTTTTCTTTTTTATGGAGTTGTAAGGGATAGTTTATTTCCCTTCCTTAGTGAAGTTAATTGTTTAAATTCCCATATAGGGAAGTAGTAAATATAAGTAATATACAAAAATAATAATGCTCCTTTCTTGTTGTGATATATTATTATATATGTTTCCCCCAGTGGTGTCACCTGGTTGTACATACTATTTTAACCGAAACTACTTTACACCTTAAAATACATGAGAGAGATTTATTTCGATAGATGTCAGTCATTTGGGTGCTCCTTTCCTTGACCTGGCTTGGGAGAAGTTTGAGGAAAGTGAGGAAAGTTCATCTTTGTTTCATTTTATTCTTTTAAGGAAAAAAAGTGATTTGTCCAAAATTGAAGTACATTTCTATACAGGCATGCCTCAGAGATATTGTGGGTTCTGTTCCAGACCACCACATTAAAGTAGGTATCTTTTTGCTGGTGGAGGGTCTTGCCTTCATTTGTAGAAAATGCAACACCTGTGAGGTGCTATAACTCTAAGCACAATCAAACGAGGTATGCCTGTAATTTTATTAAAACTCTCTGATTCTTTCTTGTTTTGATCTATAAAAGTTAACTTCTGATTTTTGTTTACAGTCACAGACATTTTGAACAACCTCTATTGAAGTAACATTTGTTCTAGTGACTGACTTCCTTTGACTGTCTCTAAAACATGTGGCCAAAAAAGTAAAGATTAATGACTTACTATAGTTATGCATAAAGAAATAAATTCTGCAGAAAGCTTACTGTGCTAATTCAATGAACCTGGTTATTAAGGGAAGCAAATAAGTCAGTTTTTAAATGTTTTTTTTTAATCTGAGAGAGATTAGAATGTTTGTGTATGTGCCATTATTTTTTCTACTTTATTTTTTATTTTGGTGAAAATATCTTTGAGAAACTTTTAAGATGATTTTTAAGCTTCTCCCCTTCCTGTATACTACCTCCTTTTTAAGTAGAATCATGCAGGAAGATCCTTGTGTGCTTCATCCTGCTTGATCCTAAAAGTGTCAAGAGTTGTGACAGGCCCTTAGCATACTTGACATTCCAGCAGCCTGGCCAGGATTCCTGTTCTAGTAACATTGTCTTTTTTTTTTTAAAGTCTACTGCCAGGTCTAAAGCCAGTCTAATGTTTCTGGATGTCCCCTGCAGGCATAAAATGGGGTGAAAGTTTTTGAAATCCTCTGTTAGGGTAACACTGGGCTTTTGTTGTACACAGTACACAAAATGGTAGGTACATACAAGTCTATAAATATCACTTTGAAAAACAGGAAAAATAATAACTCATTGCTCATGAATGCTTGGTATAGTGTGTAAATGTAATGGTACACTTTATATAGTTTGGTAGTAGGATTTTCTTAGTCCATTCGGACTGCTATAACAATACCATAGACTGAGTGGTTTATAAAACAACAGAAACTTTTCACAGTTCTGGAGGCTGAGAAATCCAAAATCAAGGCGCCAGCAAATTTAGTGTCTGGTGAGGACTCGCATCCTGGTTCATAGATGGCCATCTAGCTGTGTCCTCACATGATAGCAGGGGTTAGGGAGCTCTCAGGGGCCTCTTTTATAAGGCTACTGAAACCATTCATGAGGGCTCTGCCCTCATGACTTAATCACCTCCCAAAGGCCCCAACTAATATCATCACCTTGGGGATTAGGTTTCTACACTGTAATTTCAGGAGAGGGCGCAGCATATTCAGTCTATAGTGGGGATCATTTAGATCAGTCTGTATTGGTGTATAAATTTGACCACAGTAGTCTGAGGGTAAGGAACTCAGGGCCAGATAGCCTGGATATGAATGCTGGTTTTCCCACTTACCAGCTGCGTGATTTTGAGGAGTTTAATATCTTTTTTTCACTGTTTCATCACCTGTAAAATAGGCATCATGATAGTATTTATCTTTCTAAAGTAGATTATTGTGAGTGTTAGTTGAGTTAATTCATGTGAGGTGTTCTGAACATGGCCTGGCACATAGTAAACACTCAATAAATGTTAATTGTTGTTGTATTTAAGTGTATCTACAGAGATAAAAATGTATGAACTTTGAACCGCGATAAAGGTGCTAGTAGGCTGTTCTATCATAAACTTATAGAAAAAGGAAATAAGTTAGGCTTATTACATGTTTTCAAAGATATAATCCTATTCATTCTTTCATAAATTTAAACATAGTAGTACGTGCAAATTCATCCTTGGAGCCATATCCTTGTTAAAGGCATGGAGTTACTGATTATAGTGAAGTTATAGTAGAGAGCAAGGTTCTGGCATTCTTCAGCTCAGAAGAATGATTTTGGGTTTTGAGAACTGGTGGTGTATAATGTCTCTAATAATTACCTATCTTGTGGGGTTAACGTGAGGATTAAATGAGATAGTGCATATAAAGATTTTAGTCTGATACAAACTAAGCTTTCATTAAGTGATAGTTATTATTTAGTCAAAGCTTCTTATTTACTTTTGAGGTGATTTGTTCTTTTTCAGCATAACGTGTCAGGTTTCAGACATACTTCTCATAATAAGACTTTCTTATTCTTTTCAGTCGAAATCTTTTATCAACGTTGCCAAAATACTTATTTGATCTTCCTCTTAAAGTTTTGGTCATCAGTAATAATAAACTGGTATCCATTCCAGAAGAAATTGGGAAGTTAAAAGATTTAATGGAATTGGTGAGTAAAACAGTTGTATTGATTGTATATAATATACATAAATACATGCCTTTATATTTTGGAATATTACTCATTTCTTTATGTAATTTCACTCGAATTTTTAAGAAAAGAATAACTTGATATATGCCTAAGGTCACTTTAGGAAAATTTCTAAATACTATTGCTTATCTGATTTTAGCTCACAGCCAATCAGTCCTCAGCAGAGGCTTACTTCTCTTAAGAAATGCTTTTCAAACGAATAAGCATTTGTCTGCCCATTTTGTGGAAAGTAAAGGTCTTACCAGTAAAAAATACAGGTTTTTTTTTTTTTTTAAGGTTTTACAGGGCTGCTATGAGAGCTTCAGAGAAAGGGGATAAACAGTAGAGTGAACAAAACTCATGTGATTTTATAACAGTTTTTGGGACCAAGAGGCCATTATATACAATTGACTGTAGAAATATAGGAATAATTTAAAGGACATTGAACTCTGAGAGGACCATAGTCAGATCTTCATGGCACTGAGCTGATTTTCACATTTATATTACTTCCACTTTATACAATATACCATGCCGTTTATTTTTATCTTGTTTTATCTTGAGTAATGCTTTCCTAATACATGGATATTTAAAAAATATTCTTAAGTGCGACTTTATTATGTGTGGATGGCCAAAAATTTTCTTGAGGAACTTATTTATAATTTTATAATGGGAAATTAATATGCTAATAGAATGTAATGAACAGAAATTTCAGGAATGTCTTGCTTTTATTCATTAAGGAATACCTGCATGTGCAATCATTGCACAAGGAAACTTCCTTGAACTTAGTCTTGCTATGTTTTAGAACCAGATAATTTTAAGGTTTATAAATGATCAGATATAAGCACTTCCTAATGCAGGAAATCCTTACCACTCTAGCTGAATATGTTCAATGGTGGCAAGTGTGTGTGTGTGTGTGTGTGTGTGTGAGAGAGAGAGAGAGAGAGAGAGAGAGAGAGAGAGAGAGAGAGAGAGAATGTCCTGATTCTTTTTTGCAAAACTATTTGTTATCCTTTTTATTTTGCACTAAAATCCGTGCCTCTATCATTTTTTATCTACTGGTCCTCGGACTACCTTGCGAAGTATAGATCATGAAAACTTTGCTTCCCTTCTGATGTTTGTAATCTTTTGTGTGTCTACTCTCCATTTTTCCAAACTCTAAGGCCTGTTTGTTTGTAGCTTAAACATCTTTATTCCTTTTATTCCTTTTTATATTTCTGTTCTTTATTTTTATTTTTAACTATTTCTGTCTCGAAAATGTTCTTTTATTAAGGTCTCTTTTAATGTTATACTCACCAATGAACAGAAGAGTTCAGATGTTGATCTAACGAATTTATAATAAAAGAGAACCATTACTTTCTTTGACCTAGACACTTAATATTTTTAAAGATTTTATATATGTTATACTTTTAGATTCTGTGGCTCTATTGTTTCTTTTTCTTTTTTTCATTCAATTTTTGGACTTGTGTTCTAAATTGTATTACATGAGATGGTTTTGGGATAAGTGAAATTTCAAAAATATTTAGGATTTTTAAATTTTTTAAAAAATTATCTTTATTGTTGAATGTATTACAGATGTCCCCCCCTTCCCCCCCATTGACCCCCCTCCACCCTGCTCCCCCCTCAGGCCTTCACCACACTGTTGTCTGTGTTCATGGGTTATGCATATATGCATATAAATTCTTTGGTCAATCTCTTCCCTCCTCCCTTCCTTCCATCTGAGATTAGCCAGTCTGTCCCATCCTTCCATGTCTCTGGAACTATATATTCTAGTATTTTTATTTAAATAGGATATTTGTTACCAGAACCCCATTGATTTTCTTTGGGTCTGCCTGCCTGTGTTCATTGGCCCAAAGAAATACACAAGCAGGAGTTTGAAGTATAGAAAGAGAAAATAATTTAATAATAATTGTCTCTCCAATACGGACAGGGCACTTTAGCTCTAAATAAAACAACTCTGCGATGGCATGTATGTTACAGATAATATAGGGCTAAATCACAAGATACTATGGGTTGGGGGTTCGGGATCATGCTGGGAGCTGATTGGTCAGAAGTGAGGTAAGGGTAATCATTTCTTTAGGCCTTGAGGACAGCTCTGACGTCTTTTCTGACCTCCCTTTGTTTAGTCTCATGGAAAAGTAGCCAAGGCGTCATTCTGCTTTAGGGCTCAGCAACTGAAACATAGCTTAGGTCAAGATGTTATCTTTAGTCAGCCAGAGGCCCAGGCCTTGTGACCATTAGTCAGGTCTGGACTACTATCTTCATCTGCTTCAGAGGTTGCTGATTATCTGGGGGAAAGGCTATTTCTCTAGGGGGTATATATATAGAGAGGGATATGTTTTCTAGAGCTAGAATTTATAACTAAAATTAATCAAAGTCATATTTTAAAATCTTAAATATCATAGTTTTACTAGGCATTATAAAATTATTGTGCTATAAACTCTTGAAATCAGTAACAGTGGATATATAACATTAGGATGGCTAATTGACAATTATAAATCACATAGTGAATTTGTGGGTTTACCTGTCATTAGAATATTTTCCTATGACACTATTCCACAAGAATTTGGTGGCCAACTACAGTTAAATTCTGTCATTAGAAGCCTAGGAAATACTCTCAGACCTCCAACCCCCAGCAGAGTATTTTGTAGAGTATCCATTGGTTGAATGGGTCAGTTTCCTGTGCTTAGTTTTATTTGTTCTGGGAAAAGGTAGCTATCTATCAAATTGCTATAGATTTTCTATAACAAAATCTTCAGTATTAGACACCTTTGGGAGAAAGCAATAGTAGTTACTTTAAAGGACATTTTCCCAAACTTTTATTATTTGTCATTTGGATAATAGTCTATTCTCAACACAGCCGCTAAGTGGTCCTGTCGAAACATAAGTCAGGTCAAGTCATACCTCTGTTTAAAAGTTTCTGGTTCTTGCCCATATTTCTCTGAGTAAAAGCCAAAGTTGTGCCCCCCCCCCCCATCGTCTTCCTCTTGTGCTCTTCCCTATAGTTACACTGTATTCCTTGCTGTTCTTAGTAGGTCAGGCACGCTTTGCTTAAGAGCCTTTCCATTTATTGTTCCTTCTGTCTGGGATATGTTTTTCCTATTAATTTTATTTTGTATTGGTTTTAGGTGTACAGCTTAGTGGTTAGACAATATTTTTCAGTACCCTAACTGGCACCATACATACATAGTTACCACAATATTATTGACTAGGAATAGTCTTTTCTTATATATTTGCATGGATCACACTCTCAGCTCTGACAAGACTGCTGAAATAATAGCTTCTCCATGAGACAATTTAAATTGCTAATATCACACCCTACTATCAATAGCACACTGCCATTTGCCTTTGCCCTGCTGTGTTTTCTTAAAAAATAGCACTTATCATCTTCTAGCATATTATATAATCTCCCCATTGCTAGAATGTAAGCTCCATAAAAAGCTGTGAGGGCAGGAATTTTTGTTTGCTTTATTCCTTGATGTGTCCCGTGGGGGAAGAAGAAACTTTCCTCTACCCACAAGGTTCTTCTGGCTGGTCTAATAATCAAATAGACATGAGACAGATTACCAAGAGAAAACGACCACATTTAATACATACAAATGTATTGGGATTCCATGTACATGAGAGAGTCAGAGACCCATATTCAGGAGAGGTTCAGAGACAGAAAGGGAACATTGGTGGGCATATATGACATTCTGAGCTAGGGATGAGTTAATGTACCCTGGGGCTTCAGAAGGTCACTGCAGAGTGAGCCCATGTTCAGTGATTAATAGTTTGCCTTGCCATGTAGATTGATAAAAAGACATTTCTGATGATAACTCTTATCATGGGCCAGGCTCCTAATTTAAATTCTAGATAATTAAGGAGGGGGAGAGGGGACAGTAGTTTCTCTTGAGCCCTCATGGTCTCAGTTGCCTTTAGCTCAAAATAATCCACATACCACTGAGGCACATTGGGGGTGGCGCCTTCTGAGTTTCCATAGTCCCTAGCAACTAGATCAGTGCCTAGCAAATAGTTGGTATTTCATAAATATTCATTGTTGAATAAAGATGCCTTTGAAAGAAGTATGTAAGATACATTTTCCTAATAATCTTTAGGTTAGATGATTAGATATTCTTTAATATTTCTTTGAATTACCTTCCTGCCATTTTTACTTTTGATAAGAATGAATATATCTTTCATTCCTTTCCCTCCAAGCTAATAAAATGTCCAGTGAAAGTTGGAAATTGGGGGCAGTTGTGGTAGAATATGAATTTCATTTGCAGTGTGTCTGGAATGAGTGCTGAGATCTTGTTGCAGATGTTTTCCCACTTTTTGTTGATGTGGTAATAAGAAAGGGGAGGGAGAGCACAATTAACTTTAAGCTGTTATTTATCCTCTTTTTATGGAAATGTGGTATTGTTTATCTTTAAATCAGGGCTTGCATTTTAATTTAACCCTGAGACATTTCCTACTCAGATTTCCTAGATTGTCTTTGGGTTGTGAGCCATAAACTTTGTGTTTGTAATCCCTCATATTTTGCATCCTTTTGAGAAAGAGGCTTAGTTAAATCAATCCTGGCCATAGATTTTAGTTCTTCAGCTCACATGTATAAATCCTTGACTTCCTCTGCTTCTGCCCAACCAAGTATCTTAAAACAACTATAATTGACAGATTATCACAATGGTTGATAGTTGTCTTTTATTTTACCTCTAAATTAAGAACACTTGGATCACCCTTACTTCTGGTTTTAGTTGATGAGAGTGGTCTTTAGTTGAGATTTTCAAATGGCAGATTGATGTAGTATTAAATTATAACCTCAAATTTTTGCACAAAAAATTCATGTTAAATATACTAGGTTAACATCATGATGTAATATAAATAGAAATCTACCAGATAATCCATCTTTAGAAAAACAACATTAAATATAACTTTTGCAACACTAGAGTAGATGATGCAGAGGATCAAATCAGCTGTTTGGAGGCAGAAAACACCCAATCAGAACACCAAAAACAAAAAAGAATCCAAGAAAATGAACATAGTGCAAGGAGCCTCAGTGAAAACTTCAGATGTACCAACATTTGCAACTTGGGGATGCTGGAAGGAGAAGAGAACAAAGAATTGAAAACCTACTTGAAAAAAATAATGGAAAACTCTAACCTGGTGAAAAAAATAGATGGTACAAATCCAGGAAGTATAGAGAGTCCCAAACAAGATGAACCCAAAGTGGCCCATTCCAAGACACTTTATAATTAAAACTAGAGGCCCGGTGCATGAAATTCGTGCACGGGGGAGTGTGTCCCTCAGCCCAGCCTGCACCCTCTCCAATCTGGGACCCCTTGGGGGATGTCTGACTGCCTGTTTAGGCCCTCTCAGAATCCAGGACTGCTGGCTCCCAACTGCTTGCCTGCCTGCCTGCCTGATTGCCCCTAACCACTCCCCTACCAACCTGATCGATGCCTAACTGTTCCCCTGCCAGCCCGATTGCCCCTAACTGTTCTCCCCTGCTGGCCTGGTCACCCCCAACTGCCCTCCCCTGATGGCCTGGTTGCCCCTAACTGCCCTCCCTGCTGGCCTGGTCACCCCTAACTGCTCTCCCCTGTAGGCCTGGGTCCCCCCCAACTGCCCTCCCCTGCAGGCCTGGTCGCCCCCAACTGCCCTCCTCTGCAGGCCTGGTCCCCCCCAACTGCCCTCCCCTGCAGGCCTGATCGCCCCCAACTGCCATCCTTTTCAGGCCTGGTCCCTCCGAACTGCCCTCCCTGCTGGCCTGATTGCCCGCACTGCCCTCCCCTGCTGGCCATCTTTTGTGTTGGAGTGATGGTCAGTTTGAATATTACTCTTTTATTAGACAGTATGCCAAAGGTTAAAGACAAAGAGAAAATTACAAAAGCAGCAAGAGAAAAACAGTTAGTTACCTACAAGGGAGCCACCCTTAAGACTGTCAGCTGATTTCTCAACAGAAACTTTGCAAGTCATAAGGGACTGGCAAGAAATATTCAAAGTGATGAATACCAAGAACCTACTACCAAGATTACTCTACCCAGCAAAGCTATCATTTAGAATTGAAGGACAGATAAAGAGCTTCCCAGACAAGAAAAAGCTAAAGGAGTTCATCGTCACCAAACCAGTATTACAGGAAATGTTAAAGGGTTTCTTTAAGAAGAGAAAAAGATTTAAAAAAATATAAATATAAAATGGCAATAAGTACATATCTATCAACAATTACTTTAAATGCAAATGGATTAAATATTCTAATCAAAAGACACTGGCTGAATGGATAATAAAGCAAGATATATATATATGTGTGTGTATATATATCGTATATATTTTGTATATATATAATATGTCATATGTACATATATATTTTATATTATATATATATA